AGTGGGGGTTTGGGGGATGGGGAGCAGTGGCTAAGCGGGTCGTGGACAGGAGGGAGGAAGGCCCGGAAAGCCCTGTGCAAACAGGGCCGGAGCTCTTGCACCACCCCGCCTCCAACACACAACATACACAGATTTCCTCTCCGGATGAGTCTGGCTCCCTCTCCCTCTCTTTATGGTAGATTTCCCCCACACTCTCCTGGCCCCGAATTCAGTTTTTAGGAAGATTTACTGTCTCTATGGCAACTACTATGACTTGGGTGGGGCAGGGGAATGGTCATTCCAGGTCTGAGCCCACCTGTTGCTGGCTGGCCCATCTGAGAGAGAGCCAGGGGATGCTGATACTCCATTGATCGGTCACTTTTGATGTTCCCCCCACCTACCCCTCCCCCACCCCCCAGAACTTTACAGTCTGGTCCTGGCTCCCGCCTCAAAAAAGAGAGTTCCCACTCTCTTTTAAATCTGTCCTGTGGATTTCTGTCTTCATGGTATAGATCAGCTCTGTCCAAAAGGAATATAATGTAGGCCCCATATACCATTTAAAAATTTCTAGCAGTCGCATTTAAAAAAATAAATAAGTGAAATGAATTAATATATTTTATTCAACTCAATATACCCAACCTACTTCGACATGTAATCAGTATAGGAGTTATGGGTGAGATATTTTGCCTTCTTTTTCATACTAAGTTTTGAAACCCTGCGTGTTTGACCTTTTAGCACGTGTCAGTTCAGGCGACTTGCATCTCAGGTGCTCACCAGACACAGTGGCTGGGGCCGCCGCAGTGGGCAGTGCAGCTCTAGAGTCCCTGATGCCAGATGTAAGTCCAGGCTCTTCAGCGGCCAGCTGTGTGACCTTGGGCATGTCCCCCGAGGCTTCCAGGTGATCATTTCCTCCTCTCCACCTCTGGGTCGTGTGGAGGAAATGGAATGTCTTTTAAGCACCTGGGACAAGGCCAGACTCCTAGGAGAGCGGCACAGATGTCAGCTGCCTTCTCTCCCTTGCCTCTGAGCAAGCTGTGCCCTGGCCCCGATGCCCTCTCGCCGTTCTCTGTTTTGAACAGTCTCTTTCAGGACACCTTTTCGAACCTCTCTCTTCTCCACCAGGGCTGCTCTCGGTCCTGGGAACAGCGGTAGGGCTGCCTCTGCCCTAGCATTCCCAGCGCCACCCAGTGATCCAGCTAATTATGGCCTCTCCTTGCCTTGAGAACCCCTGAGGGCAGCAGGTGAGGAGGGCCAGGCTCCGGCTCTTGCTTCCTTCCCGAGCTGTTTCAGTTGGATGAAATCATGAAATCGAGGGAACCCAGAAACCAACCCTGCCCTCCGCCTCCTTGTGCCGATGGGACACTGGGGAATGCAGGCGCTCATCCGAGGTCGTGGGGCAGAGAGAGCAGAACCAGAGCCCTCAGTGCAGTGTTCTCTTGGTGGAGGTCCCTGCTCTCTGCTGGCCGGACTCTGGGCGATGACTTTCACGCAGTTTATCAGGGGCTGTTTAAGCCCCCCCCCCCGAGGGCATGTGGCTTCTGCTCCCCTGGCCCCTCCCAGCCTGGCAGCCACCCACTCTCCATTCTGAGTCCACTTGTGGCTGCCAGGTGAGGAGAAGGAGGGAGCTGCTCAGGTGAGGGTCCTGGATCCCCTCTTCCCAGCTCCGCTTCCTGGTGCCAGAGTTGCCTCTGCCCCTGGACTCCCATTCTTTCATCTGTAAAGTGGGAGCAGAGCTGAGGGTGTGGGTGGCAGCCTTCTGCTTCTGGAACCAGGCCCTGCAAGAGGGGGCCGGCGCTGGCCCTATTCATGGTTGGAAGACCAACTACTTGAGAGCTGGGATCCTTCCCCAACTTCTCTGGGGTACCTGTCCCTTCCTAAGTTCCTTCCCTTTGCCCCAGCCCATGGATCCACTTGAAACTGGGTGGGGTGGGGGCTGGTGAGGAGAAGCAGAGCCCTGCCCTGGGGGAGTCCTTTTCTGCCAAAGAAGCTGAGACCGGTATCCATGGCAACCGCTCACTAACACAAACCCGGAAGAATAGTGGAGCATAGGGACCCAGCCAAGAACACAGGCCTGGCACGGGGCCTGGGGGCTTCCCCAAACACCTGAGCCGGTGCCAAGGGGGCTGCCAGGCTAGGTGTCTTGGTTCCTTTTCGTCTGCTTGGTTGTCTGTCCAGAGCTGACAGATGGGGAAATGGAGGCCCAGGGTCTCTCTCCTACAGGGTTACCTAGGTGGGAAGGGCCCATTAAGCCTCACCTCTGTGGCTGTCTTTGTGGATAAGGATGGTCAGTACTGCCTCCATCCCGTCCCCCCAGGTAGTTTTGTCCCCTTGGGTGGGCCTGCTGTAGCCTCTGACACACCAGCACTCCCTGAAATCTGCAGGGCAGGTGTCCCAGGGCTGCATTCCAGAGCACCTGTCTGGCAGGTCAGCAGGCAGGTGAACCGCAGGCCGGCCTGGAATGCGGGCACCCTAATGACTAACTGCCTGCTGCCCATTTCCTTGATCCTTCTTCCTCCTCAGGCATTTTGCGGTTGGTTCCGTCAGCACCTGGGCTGTGCTGTAGACCTGTTGGAGGAAGTGTCTTTAAAAAAATTTTTTTTAAAGTTTATTAATTGACTTGAGAGAGAGAGAAGAGGGAGAGGTAGAAACATGGATTTGTTGTTCCACTTATTTATGCATTCGTTGGTTGATTCACGTATGTGCCCTGACTGGGGATCGAACTGGCAACCTTAGTGTATTGGAACGATGCTCTGACCAACTGAGCTACCTGGCCATGGTTCAGAGGAAGTGTCCTGAACCTCACTACCTTAGTCTGGGATCCAGGGCCATTGAATGCCTCAGCCTGTGCCTTAGAGTCCCATTTTATGAATGGGGCAAGAGGCTGCAGGCTGCAGGTTACAGCCTGATCTGAGAGTAAGGCTGTCTGGGTCAGAGCTGCTCAGAGAGGAGAGAGCTCCGTGTCGCTTCTCCAGACAGGAAGTGGCTTTTGTTTCTGCCCAGGTGCGGGGGTCCTGAAATCCTGAGAGTAGAAAGGGAGTGAGAGGAGGGGGGCAAAGGAGACACGGGTTTGATTTTCTTTGTGTTGTTGTTAAAATACTTTTTTTTTTTTTATTTCAAAGAGGAAGGGAGAGGGAGAGAGAGATAGAAACATCAATGATAAGAGAGAATCATTGATTGGCTGCCCCCTGCACTGGGCATGTGCCCTTGACCGGAATCAAACCTGGGACCCTTCAGTCTGCAGGACGATGCTCTATCCACTGAGTCGAACTGGCTAGAGCCTGGTTTGATTTTCAAGCTCCTGGGGCTGGGCTCCTGTTGGGCTCTGACTGTCCTCTGGGCTGAGCTCCTGGCTTTGCCAGACTGGCTGTGTGACATGATGCAGATCCTGACCCCCTCAGAGCCCTAAATCCATAACAGGTGATTTTGCGCCTCTATTTTTTAAAAAAATATATTTTTTTGTTGATTTCTCAGAGAGGAAGGGAGAAGGAGAGAGAGATAGAAACATCGATGATGAGAGAGAATCAGTGATTGGCTGCCTCCTACAGGCCCCACACTGGGGATCGAGCCCACAACCCAGGCATGTGTCCTGACCTGGAATTGAACTGTGATCTTCTGGTTCATAGGTCAATGCTCAACCACTGAGCCATGTGGGTCGGGCTGCTCCTCTCTTTTTGTGGTCAGTATCTTGCTCCCAAGAGTAGCATGGATCACTTGGTCACAGGAACACTGATCTGCTGGCCCGTGGCTCTGCCTGCACCTCCCTCCCCCAGGGTAACCAGATCTGTTCCCCAGTTACTGCAGCAGCCAACCTCAGTTTCCCTGGTTGGGTCTCAGTGGTGCCGCTCCCCTCCTTCCGAGAAGTCCTCCCCAACTTTCTGGGCTGAGCCAGGCACCCAACTTGTGGTTTTCAACTGCACTCTTTCCCATATCCATCCCAACACCTACCCCTGTGTAGGGTGGCTGTCTCCCTTCAGCCTTGAGAGGCTGAGCCTGGTCATCTCTGGTTGTGGGTTCGATATCCAAGGGCCTGGCACAAGCTTGGCCCTTGTTGACTGACTTGAATGGCAGAGTTGGGTTGACCCTGACCTGTCTGACCCCAAAGCCCATGCTTCTGAGCTGAAAGGGCCTTGAAAGGTTTGGACGACCTAGATAAGGGACAGGCCCCTGCTGCTGAGGCCAGGGTTTCTCTCTAGGTGGCCGGCCCAACCCTTTCGTCCTCACCAGTCACACCATGATCCGTGGGACCTCACCCCCCCACCAGAAGGAAATTGGGGAAGTGGTCAGCATGGTCCCTGCCTGCCCAGCTCTTAGCCCCGACAGTGGGGCTCCCTGCCCCCGTACTGGGAAGAATGGCTTCTGTACATTCAGGAGGGCACGGGGGTGGCTATGCTCGGTCTCTCCTGCAGAGAGGGCACTAAAGGTGAAGGGCTGGCCCAGGTACACAGTGAGGCTGGGAAGTTGGTGAAAGGAGCCCCAGGGGAGACATAGCAGAAATAAGCAGGAACAATGCTCTCCCTGGAGCTCAGAGGGAGGACTGGGGCTTGGCTTCCTGCCCGCCCTAAAGGTGAAGGGCTGGCCCAGGTACACAGTGAGGCTGTCTGCTCTGGGCCTGGCTCTCTCCGGGTAACTAGCTGGGAAGTTGGTGAAAGGAGCCCCATGGGAGACGTAGCAGAAATAAGCAGGAACAATGCTCTCCCTGGAGCTCGGAGGGAGGACTGGGGCCTGGCTTCCTGCCCTCCCTCAGTCCCCTACCATCACGGAGACCTTGCTGGGGTCTCCCCCCAAACCTGGTAGCTCATGGAGGTCTTTGTGGTCCCTTTACGTCAAGCATGG